TCTTTAGTGTCTATGTACTTGATATTCCTGTGCTCAATTTTTGAATGTCTGATCACCAGGCATCCAACATAACTGAATATTTTCTGTCAAATTAGCAGTTTATGTTTTTATGCATTACCTCCATCACCTTATTTCAGTAACTTTTATTTGGTTGATTGAAGCAAGGAAAGTGATAGTTAAAAAAAGGTAGAAAATAAACATTAAGTAATTTGGAATACCAGTAAATATCTTATATGCTTGGTAAATTGGATTCCAATTTTTTTTCTTCCTTCCTGTTATAAAATTATGCAGTCATTCCTTTTGCTAGGTAGCTTTTCAGTAGTTCCCACTAAAATGTGCCAAGTGGAATGTGAGTGAATAGAGGTCTTAAATATGTTCCTCTGATTTGATTTGGTCTCCTGCACTCCTGTGACCTACCAAGAGAAGAGCATTCCCCATGTAATCACTGCCCCTTCAGTGAGTAGGCCCAAAATCAAAGACACATCACAGCAGTTCTGAACCTGATAGCCCAACCTATATCAGCTGACCCATAGTCAATCTGCAGACTTAATGATCATAAAGGTAATGTTGTTGTAGACTACTGAGATTTTGAGGTTGCTGTTTACCCACCAGAGATTGACTAATACAGTCAAATTCTGTGAGTGCTTACCAGTACTTTTCTTTAGTTAAAACTTCTATTTTTTAGGGTTTTTTTCCTATAGCTACAGTGAGGTCAAGCACAATTTATAGGACAGAGAAGATGAAGGAAAATATTTTTAAGCAGAAAAGTAAACTAGGACATCTAGATTGGACTAATTGCAGTATTATTCCTTAAGGAGTATTATTAGATTCTAAAATTATCAGCTAAGTTTGAACTTGGAACATTTCAAGTGAAAGGAGGTGCTTTACTCGTACGGGAGGCAACCAGTCGATGTTTCTCGCTCACATCGATATTTCTCTCTCTGTGTCCCTCTTCCTTTCTCCCTTTCCCTCCCTCTCTTCCTCTCTCTCTCTCATTTCCCCACTCTCTAAACATCAATAAAAACATATATTTGGGTGAGGATTAAAAAAAAAGCCATCCCAGTGGGCTTAAAGTGGTATCTCATTGTGGCCTTGATTTGCATTTCTGTAATAACTAATAACGTTGAGTAACTTTTTATGTGCTTATTATTCATTTGAATATCTTCTTTGGAGAAATGTCTATTCTCAATTTTTAGAATGGACATTTTTAAATTGTATTGTTTGTCTTTTTATTGTTGAGTTGTAGGAGTTCTTTAGATATTCTGAATGCTAGACACTTATCAGATACATGATTTGCAGATATTTTGTATCATTCTGAGGGTTGTCTTTTCACTCTCTTGATAGTGCCCTTGATGCACAAATGTTTTATTTTTTAGTTTATTAACTCTCTGTCTAATCTGTTGTTCAGTCCATCTACTAAGTTTTTGTTCTCATAATTTTAAGTCATTGCTGAAATTCTATACTGTTATTTTCTCAAATACTAAGCATACTATTTTAAAAAAAAAGAAAGCAGCATGGTACAGACTCTTTTTTTAAATGTATCTTTATTAATTTCAGAGAGAGGAGAGGGAGAAAGAAACATCAGTGATGAGAGAGAGTCATTGATCGGCTGCCTCTTGCACGCCCCGTACTGGGGATCAAGACTGCAACCCAGGCATGTGCCCTGGCAGAAATTGAACCCTGATCTCTTGGATCTTAGGTCGATGCTCAACAGCTGAGCCATGCCGGCCAGGTGGTACAGACTTTTAATACAGCATTTGGTCAGTATTTCTCAGTAGAAATTCTCATCGTTTTTGCCCCCGTAATTCTGTATTTAGGTTCTCGATCTAGAAAGAACTATGTAAGTGGCCATTAACAAGAGACGGGTTAAATTATAACACATGATATACCACATCAGTTTTCCAAATGAGTTAGAATTACATATGATGAAATTACAACTGTAACACAATTGGGAACTTTAGGTGAGACACTTGATTTAATCTTCTCAGTTTAAACTGCATTGTCATCATTTCATGTAAGATCATGTGCTTGTTTTTTGTTTCCCACTCTTTTTTCCCCCAGCTTTATTGAGGTTTGATTGACAAATACAAATTGTATATATTTAAGGTGTACAACATGATGTTTTGATAAACGGATACATTGTGAAATGATTACCACAATTAAGCTAATTAAGACGTCAATTTGCTAACATCCAGAGCTTATTTATCTAATAACTGAAAGTTTTAACATCTTTTCCCTCAGCCCTGAACCCCTGGTAGCCACCATTCTTCTCTCTGTTACTTTAAGTTCGAGTTTATTTTTAAGATTCCACATATAAGTGAGATTATGTAGTATTTGTCTTTGTATGTCTGGCTTGTTTCACTTATTATAATGTCCTCCAGGTTCATCTCTATTGTCACAAGGGGCAGGATTTCCTTTTTTAAGGTTGAATAATATTCCTTTCTGTGTGTGTTTGTGTGTGTGTGTGTGTGTGTATATATACATGTATGAAAGCACATTTTCTTTATCTATCCAACAGTGGAAACTGGTTGTTTCCATATCATGGCTACTGTGAATAGTGCCGCAATCAGCACAGGAATGCAAAATCTCTTTGAGATAGTAATTTTATTTCTTTTGATATATATTCAGAAGTAGGATTGCTGGCTCATATGGCAGTTCTATTTTTAATATTTTAGAAGCCTCCATACTCTTTTCCATAATGGCTGTACCAGTTTACATTCCCACCAACAGTGTAAAAGGGTTCCTTTTGTCCACATTATTGCTAACATTTGTTATCTTTTGACTTTTTTTTTTATAATAGCTGACCTAGCAGGTATGAAGTGATGCCTCATCGTGGTTTTGATTTGCATTTCTCTGATTATTAGTGATGTTGAACACGTTTTCATGTACCCATTGGACATTTTTGTGTCTTCTTTGGAAAAATGTTTACTTGGGCCCTTTGCTTATTTTTTAATTAGGTTATTTAGTTTTTTGCTATCAAGTATGAATTTCTTATATATTTGGATTTTAATTCCTTACTGGATATATGATTTGCAATATTTTCTCCCGTTCTGTAGGTTGTCGTTTTCATTTTGCTGATGGTTTCCTTTGCTGTGCAGAAACTTTTTAGTTTGATTTAGTCTCACTTGTTTATTTTTGCTTTTGTTATCTTTGGTTTTGATGTCAAATCCAAAAAATCATTGCCAGGATCAATTTCAAGGAGATTTTCTTTTATATTTTCTTCTGGGAGTTTTATGGTTTAAGTTCTTATGTTTATGTTTTCACCTCATTTTTACTGGATTTTTTTATATGGTGTAAGGTAAGGATCCAGTTTCATTCCTTTTGCATGTGGCTATCCTGTTTTTCCAACACTATTTGTTGAAGAGACGATCCTTTTCCCATTGTGTATTCTTGGTGCCCTTGTCGAAGATTAGTCGACTGTATGTATGTGGATTTATTTCTAGGCTCTGTATTCTGTTCCATTGGTCTGTTTGTATGCTGTGTGTCTGTGTATATGCTAGTACCAAATTATTTTTATTACTATAGCTTTATAATTTGAAATCAGGAAGTGTGATGCCTCCAACTTTGTTCATCTTGTGCACAATTACTTAATTACTTTAACTTTTTATTACAAATTTTAGGATTGCTTTCTTATTTCAGTGAAAATGCCATTGGAATTTTGGTAGGGATTGTATTGAGTCTGTAGACCACTTTGGATAGTATGAACATTTTAACAATATTAATTCTTCCAGTAGATGAACATAGGATATCTTCCCATTTATTTGTGTATTTTTAAAATTTCTTTTATTAATGTCTTATAGTTTTCAGTATACAAATATTTTGCCTCCTTGGTTAAATTTATTCCCAAGTATCTTGGTCTTTTTGATGTTAAGCATACTACTTTAAATTCTGTGGCTCTTGGTTCATCTGTATCCCCTATCAGACTATTTCTTCTGCGTGGTGTTTCTGATTTACTTTTTTCATGTTATCTTATCTCTTTGTTATTGTTAATTAAGGGCCAGATATTGTGTATGAAAAGTTGTGGAAGAATTTGAGACCTACAGTGGTGGTATTGTCTTCCTCTAAGAAGATTTATGTTTGTTTTTGGCAGGCACCAGCAATCCGAGATTGCCTTAATTTAATTTTATAGTAGACATTTGGAGCTGAGTTTCAGTCCTGTAAAGGGCAGCCTAGTTTTGGTTTGTATTTACTCCTAGAATGTAACCCTTTGGGCTTCCAAACAAAAGTGCTGGAGTTTTACTGGTCCCCCTCCACAAACCTTGTTCTCCCTTCATGCCAATATTTGTCTTCCCAGCTCTGTAAAACTGTCAAAAGCTTCTGTAGCCCCAAATGCCAGGCTTCCGTTTTCTTCTGTAATTCTTCATTATGCTATTAACTTTCCAGTCCTTTCAGGAAGATTTAAAATATATATTTAGTTCTAGTTTTTCTTAGGGAAAAGTTGGTCTGAAGTATATAATCTGCCATTCGCAGCAGTCCAAGTTAACAGTATGTAAGTGGAAGTAAACAGCGTTTAATTTACTCTTTAAAATGTTAGAGAAGATTCAAAGATTACCACGTAATAATGTCAGTCTTATCCACTTGTATTTTCTTGGAGAAAAGGGATAAGAAATAGTTACAGTGACCTACTAACAATTACATATATTGCATTATTAACCAGGTGAATATCGTTTTTTCATGTTTGCCTTATTAGGGAAGAAAAATTGAAGACCGTTGCTTTGTACTATATTTTTTTATATGAGTGCATCATTCATGAGACAGTGAGTGAGAACCTTACAAGGATGACCCCATTTCACCCATGTTCAATTTACTAGTGCTAGACCTGGAGTTAAGTACCCAGTAAGTGTAGAAATGAATATATGGTTGAAAATACTTCATTTGGCTTTTCGCAGGGGAAGTCATTATCAGTATATATGCTCTTCTGAATCATCCTAAAAGACAAATTTTAATAGAGAAGGAAGAATCTTTTCTCACAAGTTCTTTTATTCCATCTCTTCTGACAGGTGGCATCTCCACAGAAAGCGACTGTGCTTTTGAGCCAGACTACGCCGTCTCTCCGCTTCCAGCAAGTGAAGGTATGCAGCACATTCGGATTATGGAGGGCATGTCTCGCTCTCTTCCATCCTCCCCCTTACTCACACATCAGTCTATCAGTGTTCGGCTCCAGCCTGTGAAGAAGTTAACTGGTAAGGACTTTACCTAAATCTAGTATGTTTAACAGGAAACCTAACAGTATGGCACTTTAGATCATATCACATCTGTTTACGTGAATCTTTAGGCTTTTTCCTTTTGGGCTGTCCTAATGTCACAGACTCTTGGAAAGTGGAGCTTGTGCTGATTTTAATTTAGGGAATTAGAATAGTACTCAGTATGACAGATTGATGTATTTATTTTCTAAATGATCCATCTGTTGTGGACATGTTTTTCTAGGCTTTCAGGAAATTTCAAGTTTTGCCAGAATACACTGTTGTTCTGATTTCATTTTATCAGCTTGTTTATGTCAGATTAACAGATGGAGATATTATAATTTTAGGATAATAAGAGCTTCATAGTTCAGCAAAGGTACATTAGTCATGTTTTTGTTTGAAATCCTGATTTGTATATTTCATATCTGTTTTTAAAGGCTGATTTAGATATTTTCCTCTCCATTGTACATTCCTCCAACTTCTTAGGGCATTTACTATCATTCATAACTCGTGGATTGCACTGACTTTAATATGATCTCAAATATGTGTTGCCTATTCAGATCAAATTGTTAGGTGTGCAACTGTCTTTACTAAATGAACTTTTGTTCTTTTTAAGCTTTTTCAGGGAAGAAATTTTAGTATGTTGAATGATACTTATGTGTGAAAATATGCAAGCCTGGATCACTTTGTTAGATTTCTTTTAACATTATCATTATATATCCGATGTTAGTAAGTTGACTAGTCATGATGGGTTATGAGTGCATGAAGGCAATATATTAAGTCATTCCCACGGGATGTATTGACTGCTCCCTATGTGTCTGGCATATGACAGTCCTAAAGAAAATAAGGGGAGAGGAGGGGAAATAGGATTTTTAGACTCTTCCATCTATTTTGAATGAAACTTTTACAATGTTTATATTTTTCATTAAAATAATAATATTTCTTTATAGTTCCACAAAGCATAAGTCATGCCTCTTATATTATTTATTGTTTTTTAGGCATCTTGAAATAGCAGAGTCAAAGTCTACTTTGATTCTTAGGTCATTAGATAAAAATCAGTATAATAGCTTAGTAACATTTTACTAACATTTTCCTTCTGATATCTAAAAATAGGGTAAATTTTATGTGATTCAGCTTGAATAAAACTTCATTGCTTAGAAACCCCCACTTTTTTTGCAGTTTAAGGTATTATTGGTTACTGAAAATAACGACTAACCAAATCTGATGGCTGTTAAGTGGCTTCATTTTCCCACATGCTTGGAAAGAAATAGCAAGAGAAATTCAGTTTCCTTGTAGAAATTAGCTGGATTGCCTGAGGTTTTGGAGATGCGACCTTTCTATCCCATTTGCCTGTCCCAGTTTGAATTTCAGCTTAAATAGGCAACCTATATTAAAAGATATGTACATTTAATAACAAAGTCAGTAACATGCCTAATATCACTGAGGTGATACAGGGAAATAGTATTAAGAGGTATACTTGGTTAATTACATGTATGAACTATTTAGTTTTAATTTCACAATGTTTGAAGTATATGTATCTTCTCAAACAGTTTTGTCTTATTTAATATATACATATAGTTTTAGCTTTTCTAGACTAAGAATTTAAAGATTGAGTATGCATTTTTTAATTTCTTAATGAAAGAAATTTGGTTTTTGAAAGAGCATGTTATGAAAATTTTTCTGTGGCCAATTTCCTGCCAATTGAAGGAGATATTAAGAATTTTCTAGTTTAACCTGGAATGAAATTAGTTTGAAATTTAACTTTAAAAGATTAGTAAATTTTTCATCAGTTATCTTTCCTTTCCTAATTATATTTTGTTTTGAATAAGTAAAAAGAAAGTTGAATGGAGAAAGATTACCTGACCATAAGGAAATGTCTTTGAGAGAATAGTTCTTAACAAAATGCATTAATTTAATCTGGCCATTAGGGCTACACTTACTGATTTATCTATTTCCATGCATTTAAACTTCCAAGTGCATTATATTCCATGTATTTATATTACCAATCAAGTTAAATAAGTAGGGCCAGATTAGGTATCTTATTCTCTTTTCTTTGTGACTTTCTAATATTTAGTCCCATATCTTGGCTATAGTCAAGACAATTGTTTAGGCCCTACAATGTGCCAGGTACTGCTTTAGACACAGTTAGTAGACTGGTGAAAAAGATAAATTAAAGCCCCTGCCTTGAAGGTATTTATATTCCAGCTGGAAGAGAGACTGGTAATAAACATATAACCAATAAATAAATACTCTAATTTTAGATAATGGCAAGTATTATGAAGGTAATAAAGAAGAAAGTGGGGTAGAGAAAGACTGGGGGGTGGAGGGAAGATTAATTTCTATGGAGTGGTCAGAGGAGGAGATATTTGAACTGAAGTCTGAATAACAAAAAGGAGCCAGTCATGGGAAGATCTAGGGTCATAGCCTTCCAGGCAAAGGGAACAGCCAAGTGCAAAAGTCCTAAAGCAGAAAGCAGCATTGGCATGTTCCAGAAATTGAAAGGCAGTTGTGGCTTCCACAGAATAAGTCAGGGAGGTGGGGGTACTAGAACATAGTTGAAGGAGGTAGGCAGAAACCAGTTTTTAGGATCATAGTAAGGAGCCCACTCTTAGGATTTTAAGCAGAGTTGGAATGGGAAATAATATGATCTGATACACCTTTTAATCAGATCTTGTTGGCAAGCTTGTGAAGAATGGAGTCTGAGGGACTAGTGTATACCACATTCATTAACCTTGTACATGTTTTCCTGATCTTTAAATAGATCTTTAACTTCTAACAAGAGTGATGAAAGGCGATCTTTTGTTTGTGTATTTTACCTTATAAGATATAATAAAGGAATAAACTTTTCCTATCATTGTTATTCCATAACCTTTGTACTCTTAGCATATTTATTGTAGTCCTTCACATAGCTGTATATGAAGATCCATTTGCAGAAATAGGTCCATTCCATTTCTAAATACTTTGACTTATCTGTAGTCTTCAGGGAATGAGAATGGGGAAAGGCCTGCTGAAGAATAAAGATATATATAATTTGGAGCTAGAAAACTAATTTTTAAATATATATATATATATATATATAGTATATCTACACACACACACACAAACGCATGCATACCCCCCTGTATACCTCCCTCTATTCAGTTCAAAAACAAGTTAATACAGTGAAAGTAGTCAAGAGAGAAACAGTTTCTGTGCTCATACTGCTTCAGTTTGTAACCCAGCTCTGAGAAAGTCACTTCACTGTGTGTGTGGAGTTCTGTTTCTTTTTTTGTAAAACAGGAACACCAATGCGTCCTACCTCATGGGTAATCACGCCTATCCAGTGAGGCTGATCACATTGTTTAATACTTGCTTAAAATGGTATTTGGCAAATACTAAGTGCCCAGAATGTGTCAGCTCTTATTGTTAACAAGATTTGTTTGAATTTGGTGAAAAGTTTTTAAAAATTACTTTTAACATTAGAAACCAATTTGGAACTTTAAAATTTTGCATGTTTTAAAAGTCATAATTTTTAATGAATGATAGTAATAATAATGGTGATATTTTTCGTTTGAATGCCTATTGTGTGACATGCACATAGTAGCTCATGTGTTCTTCTCATGTATCTCCATTTTACAGATGAGTAAATTAAGTCTGCCTTGCTCAAATGTCTTGCTCAAAATTATACAACTAGGAAGCTGTCAGGGCCAAGATTAACATCCAGGCCCTTAAACTCCAAATTTGTCTCATACCAATGAAAAAAATTGAAGTTTAGGGAAGTGGCATTCATAAACCAATTACTGAAATTCTGCGGCACACCAAAATATATATTTTTTGCCAATCTGACCAAAAAAAAAAAAAGGTATAATTTTGATTCATTCACACAGGATAGCTGTTGTTGTGTTGGGTGTTGTCATTTTCTTATTTGACACTCTAAGGGAAAAGAGGTTAGTGCCCCTGACTAAAAGTCAGGGATTGCATGTTTTAAAAATTCTTGCAGCACACTGGTTGAAAATCGCTGATTTAGGCAATAAAGGGGCACTAGAAGATATAGAGGTTGGGCAAACCTCAAGGTTCATTTGGCCTAGTTGGATATTGTTGTGCACTGGAGGAGAAAATCTGTGGATGAGAGTGTACAGAGACAGCATAGTGTTGTGGTAATGGAATCTAGACAGTTCTCTAGATTCTTATTCAATGCTCTTTCCAAGATGTTTTTGTTGATAATATCATAAAGCCCATCAGCATACTTCTTAGAATATAGATAATTGGGAGTGCCGGTAGTTGAGTCATTCAACACTTACTGAATTTATACTGTTTGCCTATTATGTACACTGTAAGTTTAGTAGAAGTTTAATTTTGAATATGCACATTATTGGTAGGGGTATAAATTGATGCAAATGTTTCGTAAGGCAGTTTGACAATATGTTTCAAAATTGTAATGCACATAATTTGTCACAGCGATTTTATTGCTCAGATTAATTTGAAAAAGTTTGAAATGTATGTGTGTGTGTATAGTATTGTTTATATAGTAAAAATATGAAAATCTAAATATGAGTAATAGTAATCCATCGGTGTTTTAAAATGATGTATAAACACAAACATACACATATGTGTACATTTGGTGGTGGTATGGAGATACAATAACTCTAACTCAGAAGTGGGAGAGGGATGACATAAATTTTATTGTATACCCTTATATAGTGCTGGTATTTTTTACCACATTAAAATCCAAAATCTCATGAGGCATTATAACAAAATGGACCCTGACTTCTATTTCCTTATTGTATAAATTTATGCAAATTTGCTATAAGTCTCTGTACTTCCGTTTACTTGTTTCTAAAACAGGAATGATAATAGTATATACCTAAACCAATGTCACCCCAATAAATTTAATTTAAAAATAATAAAAGAGCAAACGCCAAAAAAATATATATATATATTTTCATAGGACTATTAAGAGAATTGGATGAGTTGATATGTATAAGCTCATACGACAGTGTCTGATACAAAGTAAGTACTCT